TCAGTATAGTAGTTGCTTCCAGGAATATTTTTGGGAGGATTGCTTCCTTTTCAATTTCACTGAAGAGTTTGAGGAGTATAGGGATGATAACTTATGTTAATTTCTTGTAGAAATCAGCTGCAAATCCATAATGACCTGGAATTTTCTTTGTTGGTAGGTTTTTTTTTTTTTTGGTATATTTTATATTTCATTGGCTGTTATTGGGTTATTGAGAGTTGTTATGTCTTCTTGATTCACTTTTGGTAATTTGTACCTTTGTAGGAATCTGTCCCTTTCTTTTGTGTCTTCTATTCTGTGAGAGTAAAAATTCTCAAAGTAGCTATTTATAATCTTCTGAATTTTTACTGGGTCTGTGGTAATTATACCGTTTTCATTCATTATTGATTGTATTTGAATTTTTTCTTTCCTCTTTTTGTTGAGGTTAACTAGTGGCTTATCAGTTTTACTTAATCTTTCAAAGAATCACCTTTTTGTTTCATTAATTGTTTGAACTGTTTTCTTTGTTACAATTGAGTTATTTTCTACTCTAATCTTTATGATTTCTTCTCATCTTTGGGGTTTGGGTTTGGTTTGCTCTACCTTTTCTAGATGTTGGAGGTGCAGCATTATGGTGTTTATTTGTTCTGGTTCTGTTTTGCTAATGTGTGAGTTCACAGCTATAAATTTCCCTCTGAGAACGGCTTTCATCACTACCATAAATTCCGATAAGTTGTGCTTCAATTTTCATTGAATTGTAGATATTGTTGAATTTCTTGTTTAATTTCATCTGTGATCCTTTGGTTGGTGAGTAGGGTGTTGTTTAATTTCCATATATTTATAGGGTTTTTCTGGGTTTTTTTTGTCGTTCATTTCCTGTTTCATTGCACTGGGGTCAGATAATGTGCATGGGATAATTTCTGTTTTCTTGCATATACTTAACCATGACCTGTGGACTAGCATGTGGTCTGTTTTAGAAAATGACTCATGTGCAGCTGAAAAAAATGTCTATTCAGCTGTGGTTGTTTCAAAAACTCTGTATATGTTCAGTAAGTCCATTTGTTCCAATCTCTGGTTCAGTTCTGCTACTTCTTTGCTAAATTTTTGTGTGCTTGACCTATCTTTTTGGGAGAAGGGGTTGTTGAGGTCTCCTGTTAAAATTATGGTATTGGATAATAGATATTTCTTGCCCATTAAGATTTGTCTTATGTAGTTGGTTGCCTCTGTGTTTGGTTCATGAATATTTATGTGTGTTACCTCTTCCTCTTGATTTTTCCCTTAATCAGTTTATAATGGTCTTCTTTATTTTGTTTGATCATTCTTGGTTTGAAGCTGAGACTGTCTGAGAACAGGATTGCTATCTCTGCTTTTTTTTCTGAGGTTCTGGGGGGTATTGTATTGCTTTCCATCCTTTGACTTTCAGCCTATGAATTTCTTTATGAGTTAACTGTATTTCTTGTATACAGCATATTGTTGGATTTTGTTTCCTAACCCACTGTGCCAGTCTACTTCTTTTAATTGATGAATTGAGTCCATTTACATTCATAGTTATAATTGAGATATATTGACTTATGATTGACATGTTATTTACCTGCTGTTGTTTACTCCTTTTTTGCCTGTGTTTGTTTGCCCTATTTAGTGAGATCCTTCATTCTTGTTTATGGAGTTCTTATCATTTTGGTCCCTCGGTAGACCATCTTTTAGTAGTCTGTGTAGGACTGGGTTTTTTGTCATGAAATTCTTTAGTTGTTCTTTATTGTGGAAGTATTTCCCTTCTCCATCAAACCTGAAAGAGAGTTTTCCAGGACATACTAGTCTGGGCCGGAAGTGTTTTTCATAGAGGACTTGCATGACTGCACTGTGTTCTTCTTGACTTGATGGTTTGTGAAGAGAAGTCTGCTGTAATTCTCATGGGTTTTCCTTTAAATGTGATCTGTTTCTTTTCAGTAGTGGCTTTCAGTATATTGTTCTTGTGCTGGATTTCTGGGATCTTGACTGTTATATGTCTCGGTGTGTTTTTAATTGGGTTGAAGTTATTTGGCGTTCTATATGCTTCAGTTACCTGAATGTCAGATTGTTTCCTCATATTTGGGAAGTTTTCTGCTATTACTTCTGCCCATATTCTTTTTATTTCATGTGTATTGGCTCCTTTTTTCTCATTGATGCCTATTAGTCTCACATTGTTCATCTTTGCATCGTCTTGTAGGTGATGAATTATTTTTTCCTGCATCCTAGTTGTTTTTAAGAGATTTTTTCTTACCTTTTCACTAGCTGTGATGGTGTCTTCAAGATCGGAAACCCCATCTTCACTTTCACTCAACTGTTTTTGCAAGCTTGTGATTGAGATTTTAAGTTCCTCTATATCTCTTTGACTCTGCTTCATGTGATCTATTTCTTTCCTGTATTGCTCATTCAAGGAATCCATTATTTTTCTAATATCCTCTTTTTTTTAATCAATGTCTTCTTGAGAATCAGTTTTTAATTTTTTCATTATTTTTTCCTTTCTTTTGTACTTCAGAGATTATTTCTTTTTTTTCCAGAGATTTTTTCGATTTGATTTCTTTTATATTTTTCTGCATTTGATTCTTTACTTCAGACACTGTTAATTCAGAGATTTCTTCTTTTTATTTCAGAGGTGATTTCTGATCTCATTTCCTATATACCTTTGTGCAGTTGTTTCTTTACTTCAGACGCTATCAGTTCAGGCATTTCAGCTGTGTGATTCCCAGTTTCTTCTCTGCTAGCGTCTTCTGCACTTGTTCTGGGTGGGTTCGGGGCCCGAGATTGCATTTTTTTCCTTGTCTTTGTCGTTGTGTATAGCATTGCCCTCTGGCTTTTGGTGTAGTGCTTTGGTGGTTATTACTTTATCACCTACTGAATTTCTTACTCAAAAGAGATTACATGATTAATGTAGCTATAGTGTTGTATTTACAGAACAAAAATAAGGTACACTAATAATGTGTAATAATAGTTAGCAGTTGACAAACTTTTGTAACTAGTGGGTTTGTGTTTTAGACAGTAAGATCAACCATCATGTCTATATAGCTAGGTAGATATTAAATTGGGAACTTGTATTTAAGTTAGTTCCCCCAAATTCTGCTGATCACCTGCCCTTGATGTGCCAGGTGTTTTCCAGGCTGACTAGTTCAGCCTGGTTACCTTTTGCTCCCTGTCTCCTTCAGAAGAGTAAGAAGGAGGATGCTTTTATAGTTCTGAGTCTAGCAAAGTGTTTCAGATTACCAGGTGCAGATCTATGAAGTCTGGGCTGGTTCTGGAGCGGTTTAGAGGCGCCCTGAGAGCAAGGCTGAAGGTCTCACTCACACGGTGGCCTTGGGCTGGGGCCGGAGGTGTCCAGCGGGTGCAGGCGAGCGTGGAAGCTCTGCTCTCCCACACACTCCCCTAATATAGTTTGTAGAATTTGGAATGGCTTGCACATAGATGCCTTGCCTTTCACCCGGTTGCTTTGTAGATGAAAGAACTCACAAGAAAGGAAGGACTCTTACACGTGTGTGTGTATGGGTTCATGTGCATGTGAGTGAATACTTTATCTTGTGTGCTGCTTGGTTTTGGGGAGGACAGGAATGAATCTCCAGACTCAGTAGGCCAGACCTCAACAGACAGTCAGGCATGTCAGGGGCAGTGGCCCCTGAGTGCCTGTGCTCCACACTGCCGTGCCACGGAGGGCTTTTCCTGCCAACCTGCCACCCCTATCCCAAGACACAATCTGGAAGGAAGTCTAGTCCTCCAGTAATGGCCTCATCAAAGTTGAGGAGGTGTGAGGCCACCTGCACACACCTCCTTTGCCAGGGACTCTCTTTGACCTATACTGGATCACATCCCTTGCCTTTAATCATTTTATTTTTAATTTAGTTTACATAGAAGAAATCTAAATGGAGCTAATTGACCCCTAGAGGGCTGGATGAGAGTAAATCTCAAACTGAGCTTTTTGTTGTTAGCCAGGTGCCATAGAATGTTCAGTATAATGGCTGATTGTTTTTCTTTATTCTTAAATGGATGCCTAGCTTGAGAAAGCCCCATCTTGGTAGCAGAAATTCATGGTCTTGAAGAGAGGTTCATGGCTGCTGACTGAGTGAGCGAGAGAAAGAGGAAAGTTGTGCATTAAACTGAGATAAACACAACTGTGTATAACTGGATTGTCACTTGTGCACACGATGTGTTGTCTGCCTGCTTTTGATTAAAATTGATTCAGGTGCAGGTACTTAGTGTTCCTGGAGCTGGGCGGCTGTGCCTAAGCCACTGTCCTTGTAGGTGAGGGCTGGGCAGCATAGTGCCTGGTACACAGGGCTCCAGCTGGTGCGGAGCTGGATGACCAGCCCAAACCAGCTTAGAACACCACTAGCTCCGCCACAGGCAGCTGCTGCTCTCTGGCCCAGGTGGCTCTAGGCATCGGGAAGGTTGTCCAGGAGAGCAGTGAGGTCGAATGACCTGCTGATTGGTGGTGGGAGAAAACGCCCCGTGGTCCATGGCAGGCAGCAGCAGAGAATGCTGGGGGCCAAGCCAGCTCCCAAACTCAGTAGTTACGGTTTCAAAGGGCCTGGTTTAGGGAACACAAAGTCCCTTTGGACCCTTGTGTAAGCAGGAAGAAGCACACCTAGCCCTTTCCTTTCTGGATCTGGTTCTGTATATCATAGTTGTCCTGAGATGCAAAGTGGGACTTGTCCTCAGACCCTGGGTGGCCCTGGGATTGAGCGCAGCCAGCTGGCCTGGGCCTGACTCTGAGGGAGGGTAGAGGTGCAGAAGCAGTGGCCGTTGTCCAGTTAATTCCCGTTGGTGTGTTTTATTTCCAATTCCAAGAGCTGCCAGGATTAAAATAAATGCTACCAGTTACAGGGATGCATTAAATTAAGTTGTTCCCCTGCTGATCCCATAATAGCCCTCCATCCGATGGATAAGCACTAAGCCCTCTTCTGGGTGGCAGGGGATGCACTGTGCACTGCTATGCAGACTAAAGTGAACTTCCTTTCTCTCCTCGTCCCTCTCCTCTGCCCTCTGCCACCCTGCAGGTTATCCTGATCCTGACGAAGCTGTACGACTTCAACCTGGGAAGCGTGACTGAGAGCTCTCTGTGGAGGTAAGTGGATTACAGCCCGCTGTGGAGATGCCCAGGCGAAGCCACAGGAGAGCTGGTTTCTGAAGGAGTGGAAGATCAGCCTCCCGGAAGCCCTTAATGCCCCAGCCCGTGAATTCCTTGGGCCCTCTCTTTACATCTTTTGGTGACTGGCTCCTTCCAAAGGCTCTTTCCGAAGGCACCCATCTGGTTGTCCTTGGAGAAGCCTGGTTCTGGGAGGAGAACTCAGAGACCCTGACCTCCAGTGAGCGAAGATGCTTGCTAAGGGTCTGTGGCCGCAGCTGGGAGGCTTGTGTGGCCTCCCTCCAGGCCCTTGCATTTAGAAGGTGCTGTGGTCCTGGAGAGGCTGATGCCCATGGGAGCAGATAGCGGGTGCCATCTGCATGGTGACGCTTGGTGGCTTCTGGGCCTTGCTCCCGGACACTCACACAGTCCCGTACTGAGCTGGTAGAAAGACAGATGCCTTGCTGTGGACTGACACCGTTTTCGCATCCTAAACATTTATTCTTTCCTTTTTATTTTAAAAGAACCTAAAAAGTTCTTGGCCCTGAAGACTTAGCGAGCTCAAACACTGCACCTGCACTGTGCTGTGTAGACAAAACAGGCTGGCTGCGGCGCTGAGGTACAGTGACGGGCTGGGCCAACAGGACCTGGCAAGGCTGTGATGCCAGGAATTCCTGAGGGCAGGGAGTGCTGAGCACGTGCCCTTGCATGCCGTGCCTCAGGCGTGTTGACAGCTCACACTCACAGACATCAGCCTGTAGTCATGCGGGACAGCCACGGGTGTCACAGCCACTGTGACATGGTGCTTCGCACGGTGCTGATGGCTGGGGGCTCAGGTTGTGCATTCGTTCCTCTAATGGGTGTCAACCCTAGGGAGGATGTCGACACAGAGGCCATCTGTCTGGGTGCATCCTTGTCTCGTCCTTGTCATGTTCCAAGGGTTTCCTGGGGACTTGGGCTACCAGGACCTGGGTGTGTGGTGCTGCTTCTGAGTTACCTGTAAACAAAGGACAGCTGCTGTGGCTGAGAATGGGACACACTGTGGGATCTGGTAAACACTTAGGGATGCCCTGGCCCAGCAGACAGGGCTGTCTCCCTTGGCATTGGATGTCTCCTATCTAATTTCACTGCTGATCGTCAAGAACTGGCGGGGTGTAGGAACTAGGGTGCTCTGATCGGCGCAACCCTGCTGGGTTCTGCTCACCCCACACATCTGGGGAACTGGGCTCCAGAATCTTCCCACAGGTCCAGTCCTAGTGATCCTGAGTGGTGGCATTGGCCACGCCCCCATGCAGTCTGCTTGGCCAGATCCTGAAACTACCAGAAATCCTTGTCCTTATATGCAGAAGCAGCTGTACCTGGCACTGGGTTCAGAAAGGGGCTGGCTACTTCCAGCCAGCGGCCAGGCAAGCCCAAGGAACCTGGTCCTAAAGCCCTGAGCTCTTAGTCCCAGCACCCCAAAGTTTGGTAGTTTGAGCTCACAGTCGCAGCTGAGGGTCGTGTGTGCCCACAGCCTTGGGGACCAGAGGCTTAGCTATGCCCTTGTTCCAGTACTGGGATACAGGTGCCAGTTGGAACATCCTGAAACTCTGTCCCTTGAAACACTTTCCTAATGGGTCTCTATTCCCTTTGTTTAGCCAAAACATTGCTGCAACCTGGGTGGCTGCAGACCGCAGATAGATATCGGTACCCTTGTGGTCCTGGAGGCCAGCAGGCTGCAGTTGAGGTGCTGTCAGGGCCACACGCCTTCCGGAGGCTCCAGAGGAAACTTCTCCGGGTCTCCTCTGCTCCTGGAGGATATGGGTGCTCCTGAGCTGCCCCACTATATCCCTGCTTTTGTCTTCACCTGGGCTTTTCCTCTCTGCCCCTCATAATGTCACTTGTCCCTGGATCTAGGGTCCCTCTAGTGACTCAGGATCACCTCATATCAGGGTCCTTAATGGCATGTTCAAGGCCATCAGTGAGGGCAGCAACAGGCAGAGAGGTGGCCCACACGTTCCTGGAATTGAGTCCTACATTGGGCATGTTGGACTCTGGGCATTCAGGGTGGCATATCTTCTGGGGGGTCCACCCTCTAGGGCACATCACTCTCTGAAGCTCCATTGTCCTGTGTGTAGGTTCCAGGTAGTAGAGAACATACCTGGTATGTAAAAAACATTTTGCTATTTTTTGATTTAATCTGTGATTCTCAGAAACACTCTCCTCCCTCTTCCCTGAATTGCACCTGCACCTCTGCCTGGAGCCCCCAGGGCGTGTGGATTTCTCATTTTTACCCCCCTGCCCACTGCAGCCTTAGTCACAGAAGCCCTTCACCAGGGCATCACTGTCCTTTGCTAGCATGCACGCCTCTTCTTAGTATTTGTCACCACCTGACCCGCTAAATATTTACTTCTTGGTTTATTTATCATCTACCTGTGTCCACTAAGCTCTGAGCTTTGGAGAGAGGCAGGTTGCGCATGGTAATTCAGAACTACGCCCTCAGCACCTAGAGGAGACTCTGCCACACAAGAGGCGCTTCGTAGACGTTTGCTCAGTGAATGAATTAACAAATGCCTCGCTGTAAGGATTAAATAATAAATGCAAAAGCACTTAGAACAGTAGCTCCTGTACTGACTTGACTGTAACTATTAATGATTATTACCAGCCTGTGTGTTTGTATAATCTTTTTATTCCCTTATTGATGTTGTCTTTAAGGCTCCACTTCTGAGATGATCTAGGGGAGGGAAATTTGCAGGACCCGGAAGGAGTGGGCTGCACACACTCTGCTGCGAGTTGGCAGGAAGTTAGGTAGGGGAGGAACGTTGTTTAGAACGGTGTCCTTTTGCCAAGCGGGGGGCAGTTGGAATATCAACTTTTACCCAGCTGAGCATGCTTTTTATAGGAAGGGTTTCCTGAGCTGGATGTTCTGTAGGAAGATTCCTGAGCTGGGTGCTGGAGTGATGTGAGGCCATCAGCGGGGGCAGCGGCAGGCAGAGAGGTGGCCCAGCAGGCAGAGGTAGAGGCCGTGCCATGCTGGTCCACTGGAAGGAGCCAAGTGGGAAGCGCAGCAGCTGAGTGCTGGGCTGGGGGGCAGTGCGGCTCACAGCTGCCTTGCCAGACCGGGTGCTCAGAGCACAGCTGTATCAGTCTGCTTTGCTTCTCCTGGGACGTGTGACTCAGAGGAAGAGAGCTGTATTTGGTTTCCCAGTTTCAGAGCTCCAGAGTCAGCTGGCCAGGATGCAGGGTCCCGCTGAGTGACTGGCTGGAGGGTGTGCCGGAGACCTGCTCAGTGCATGGCAGGCGGGAGAGAGGGCCAGGCAGAAGGGCCAGGGGGGAGCCCTGAGTCCGACCCTTCTCCCAGCAAGGCTGCCCCTGCCTTCGTGCAGCCAAGCTCTCCCCAGTGGGCTCATCAGGGGCTCGGGAGGAGGTCGGAGCCCTCAGCATCCTGGCCCCAGCCGAGCTGACCACCAAATTCGACCAGCACAGAGTGTGCAGGAAGTAAATCTCCTCTGCTGTCACTGTTAAGGGATTCAAAAAGCTGGTGGGTATTAGGGACTGTCCCTAAATGTAAACATCGTGCATGAATGTGTCTTGGCATTAGGCATCACATTTTCATGGTAAAGCTGAGCTTGAGGCCAGAGGGGATGGGGAGGGAGGCTGCTGCTGAGCTTCGCTGGGCCTTGCCAGCCCGTCAGGGCCTTGCAGGGAGCCGTCTGACACTGTGCTGTGGCAAACGCGCTCTGTCTCTCACTGTCTTTTTCTGGGCTGCTGCTGATACGTCTTACAATTAGAGCCTAGAGCGCTCTGGCTTTCCTTCCACCTACAATGGGCTGGGAAAAGAAACGGAATTAAATACGCACCCTTTTAGCCCGTGATTTGGCTGAACACGCACAGCCGGGTTGCAATTGCGCTTGGCGATTCTGCTTCAGTTTTCTGCACAGTAGTGAAGCTCTGCGGCAGCAGATGCCACGACAGGATGACCCCCCTGCCAGGCCAAGGGCGATGCGATCATTTGCCTCTCTGGACTAAGAATTCAGAGGCTTCCCTGATTGAAACAGGCAAAAGTCTGTTTAAAACCATTAAATCACGCAGCCAGCTATCTGTCCTCCTGACATTATTTCTGGGACTCTTTGGTCCTCTCAGTAGCGGTGGCAGCCAAGTTCCCTTCTGTCAGCGTCCCTTAGTCAGGTAACAGTGCATGCGGGATTTCAGGTTTGGGGGGCTGACTTTCGTCACTGACCCTGGGGTCCCCTGAGTTAGCTGGGTCTTAAGGTTGAGAATGGGAGCTCTCCCTGGGCAGGATCGGACGCTCCTACTGGTGTTGGGACCTCCCAGGTGGAAACTGCAGCCAGGGAAGACCGCCTTGTCTTCGGGTCTCCTCCATTGCCACCGAAAGGGGAGTGCGGTCCTGTGGAGTGTGTGAGGCTGGACCTCCAGCTTTCTGGGCATGCTGCGTGGGGTGTGCGCACGCCACCGTCAGGCCCTGTGGCGTGTGCATGTGTGTGCACCTCTGCCTCATCTGATGGCATTCATGCTCCTTGATCAGGGAAGCGGAGACTCAGAGAAGGCTAGCTGATCCGCGGCCTCAGGGTGAACTCTCCGGTGCTGAAGAGAAGGCGTGGCCAGGATTCACGCTTCTGGTGGGCAGATCACTTCTTGACTTCCATTCTGTGTATGAGATATTGGCACTCAGTTGGTAGGCCAGCACATTACCTGTCTCGCAGAAGGCTTGAAGTATTTTTTTCTAGAGAGATATGCACAAAGCAGGTGAACTTTGGCTTCTGTTTGCTGGTCCCAAGCACAGAGGTCCTAGATGGGTGGCTTCTGGTCAGCGAGGAAGGCGGCAGGGACGCAGCGTGTATGAGCTCCAGAGGAGTGGGGGCCACGCAGA